GGACTGTCACTGTATCTGTCATTCCCAAGACAAACTGATGCTGTACTGGCCGCAAAATGAGGTCCTACACCATACTAATATATTACTGTGGTCTTAGATTTTGTTATTCAGACACATGGACAGACACATTGCCTTTGGATTGCAACTGTTCCTGTGTTTGTGTTTGCAGTTTTAATAATAAATAATTTAAAAAAAGAATTCTGTTTTCACTGCTGTACCAAAATTGCACCAAACTGTGAACCAAAAACCGATGTTTGCACTGAAATGTAATTCCATTGCCATATTTTTGCTCTACTACTTTTCCCCCCACACTTCGGTTCATGGGTCGAATACGGCTTGGCCCACTGGGTCTGGGCACAGGGCCTTAGGGGGGGCCCCGAGCGAAGTCCCCCACCTTGTGAAGACAGTCCATGGCCATTTTTATATGTAGATGTCCGGCAAAGAGACAGTTTTCCATTGTAAAGTATGTGAGCTGTATCTGACCTATAGCCCTGCTGACATGGACCTGCTTACTAACACAGCCAAGAGACTGACCAAACCTATCTGGGTGTGTCACCACTATCTGATTGGTGGAAATGCACAGAGACAAGAAAGAACCAGTTATCTACAGTGACATGCATGGATTATCTGAAGGAATAAAGGGTATATTCTATATATATTTCATTATTAGTAGTAGCGCACATTGTTATGTATATATACATTCCTGAAAACTTGGAACTTAAAATTTCCAACCTCTTACTTATAAAAGTAATATAGCACAACTGAATGGAATGGATTCATAATGCAAATTTACTCAAGCTAATGCTACTTCTGCTAGCATTTGATGCTAATGTAACACATTGATTCTCACAGGGCACATTCACACCGCAGGAAAACATTTTTTTAAGGAACCAGGAGAACCTTTTGTTGTGTTCCCTCCACAGAAACCCCACCAGATTGTAATTCCTTGGAGTCGGTTCTGGAACCTCTTTTAAGTCTCATTCTGGAGTTCCGTGACCCTGAATAGGATTAGCGGTTACAGAAGATGAATGGATGGATGGATGGATGGATATTCTGGAGTAGGTACTTTTCATTCAAACACTGCAGTGGGGCTCATAGCAATAACTTGCTGATTGTTTGACCACAAGCACTGGAACTGACTTGGAAGTTATGTGGAAGTGCTGGGAAAAGAGATACAAGCACTGGAGCAAAATCTGAGCAGATGGAATTATTTTTGTACCTCAATTACATTTAATGCATCAATGAAAACCTTTTTGCTTGTGCCTCCATATTTCTGCATTGGAAAAGTAGACCAATAATGAATATACATTTGTCAAATATCTCCGGTGCCATGTTTTATTCTGTGAAAAACGAAAGATCAACCTGCTGGCCAGATTCAGTAAAATAACATGGCCATATAAATAAAAGACTGTGTCCCATTTAGACTGTGATCAATCCCCCAAAAACTAACAAATAACAAGGTGTTCATTCTCCATTGTTTTTGGTTGGTGGTGTAGTTTTGTATGAAATTATGAAGTTTAGCCTACAACCTTTTTTGTGTCTCCCATGCTTATTTAGCATGAATGTCCCAGTTCCTGTTATACGGTGTGAAAGTGACACATGAAAGTGGTCACGAGCTAGAAAAGTCCCTGGTAGAGACAGCCCAGGAACTTGTAACCAGGAACTATGTTGCAGAAAGGTTTGTCCCCAGAGGCCCGTGATTTCTTCATTCACCAATGTACTGCTTAAATTACCAATACTGCTGGCCGATATTTAAGCTTTATCAGTATTCAAAGTTAGCAGCACCAGAGCTAAAGAAACAACTATACTAAAATAATGGAGATGATTGCATTGGATGATCAGCAATTTTCCACAGTAGAGGACGAAGGTCTTTGTCAGCCCATTCACCGATTAGAAAAGGCACCAACCCATAGCATGTTTATAATTCAGTAGTAAATCTGGCCTGTAGGTCGACCCTTCATGTTCTACACAATAATAAATGATGTAACATCATTCCAATAATCTGCACCGACAAGCTCAGCAAGTTTCTCAGACAGTCGACGACCTGGGCTTGCTGTAATGAACATTCACCATGACATCAAAACTGACAGCAAGGAAGTGCTACAAGAGTTTCATACAACCGAAATTCAGAGATTCAACTACAAGTAGGTACATGCAGGATGGGGGGGGGGGTGTCCTTCCATTTAGCCTGAATGACTGAATTGAAAGTGCCTCCCTTTTGAGGTCCTAACTGCTCCTTTCCAATCACCAAATTAAAAATCACCCACCCATCGAATTCTGTTGATTGCATTGAAGAAGTAAAGTTAACATTTGATACTTTAACATCAAAGCCATTATTTCATTTCAGATCCATTGTGAGTGTATTTTTCATGCTGCTTCTATTAATTCATATACAGGTATAAAAATAAAGGCATGAAACCTGCCATTTCTACTGTATTTTCTGTCTTGATCTTTTACTCACACATAAGCCCAAACGTTATCAAAATCTGCCTTACAATACATTTTATTTTTAAATTAGACAGACCTCTGCTGAACAGATCTATGTTGTTTTAACTGTCTTGCTGGGAGAAAAAACACAAAATAATATTTTTGGCTTTGGGGTTGAGGTTCGCTGTTTTTATAGGCCTACCTGAGTTGTACTTTTTTGTCCAAAATATACAGGGGGCCGCATGAGCTACAAGTTAGAATTAATTTATTTTATTATCCTACATAGCTGATAGGTATACATTTTATAGTCAGGCACGTAGCTAAGTAGTCAAAATACAAGCTTGAACGCCTGTACCTGCCGAGAAGTTTGTTTGAGAAATTTGCCAATCAGACACCAGTGTTGTCAAGTCTCATGAGACAATCAACCAACCTCACCCCTGAAAATCAAGCCCAAAATAATCCCACTGTCAAAGTAAGATGGAGAAATCAAACCTAAGAATGAACCCAATACACACAACCACATGGAACACAGTCCGTCCTGTTTGCCATATTATGTTTACATATAACATGCATACAACAGTAACTCCAGTAAACGCAAAACTGCAGGCCTGGTCCTAAAGACTTTATCATAGTCTTTTGTTAGTGTGACAGTAAATGATTCCTTATGACTTACCATGAACATAATATGGCTCTTTGTAGCACGTTTTGCACAAATTATTAAATACTGAACTCATTAATATCCCAACACAAAGAAAATATCTGACAGAGATGCAAAATCTGTCGAAAAGGGCCGAGTGCAGTGTTTTTCAAACCAGTCATGGGGACAGACCACGTTTCTGCTCCCTCTCAGCTCCCAGTCACACCTGTACCAGGTAATAATCTAGCTTCCCCATAATACCTGCAACCTTAAATCACCGGTGCCGCCACTGTATATAAGTGTGTTACAGTATACATGCTGATTTTATTATTAACTGTATCTGTTAAATATAATCTTACCTTGCAATACAAAATGTCTTTATATTATTCCAGAATCTTATCCATGTTTCTTGACAAAATGGAGACTCCAGCTTTAAAATACTTTCACTTTTATTTACACACAGCAGGAAATGATCACCTTCATACCAAACGTGGGAGCGGTCTAAACAGAAATGGACACGGACTCAGTGGCCCTGCGTAGGATTTTTAGGGATATTATCCATATGTAACTTAATAGCAAGTAACAATATTAGACAAAGGGGACAAGCTCCCGCCGCCACCTGATTCAGTCATAACGCACATTATGCGTTATATTTGTACATATAAAACGCGGTACTGCAGTAACACTTAAATAATTAATTAACACATGATCTTAATCACGATTCATTATACATTTGTCGCTGTCCTACGGCTGCTTTACACTGATCCCTCTTTCTATTTCTATTACTTTTTTGTTTTTTCAGGATTACAGACGGTTTTAAACTCATAAATTATCTATTGCGAATCGGTGCATAATGATTTTAATACAATAGACGCTACAACTGGGGGGAAGCGTAAAGTGGCTTAATATCTTAAAGCAACATCTACGGAAAACTAAATATCTCTCACGCTTTGCTGGTTTTACGTACATTCTGTTGCCAAATGCAATGGACAGTAAGCCAGGGCTCCCTCACCCTCTCCTGTGATATGGAGGACCAGTGACATCTGTGTGTATAACTGAAGGGGCAGTAATGTGCAGGGCGCCGCGTGTCTTGCTCGTGCCCGCGGACATGATGACTCCCCCCCCACATTACCAGACTGCGTACAGGTCGCTAACTGGCTATAATGCACACAACGCATCTCCCATCCGCACACGGCAAAAAAGATCTCACTGAAAGAGCACATACTACTTAACCAAAATACAGTGGTACCTCGGCTCGAACTTAATCCGAGTTCTAGTGATCGAGTTCGAGAACCGAGGTACCACGTACTGTAGTTGTAAATAGTTAATTCGCAGTAATCGCTTGTGTCGTTGTAAATGTGCTGTGTGTTATGTCATGTATATTGGTTATTGTTTATTGTTGTACATAGCTAGTGTGTGTTTGTGTGCGCGCGCGCGCCCACCGTGTATATGAGTACTAAACGGAGTGACGAGCGGTGGGCAGTGTGACTATAGGCCTACATGTGTGCCAAGCAGTGATATGGGTGCAATAAACGCTGTCTGGTGATTGAACTCCGAAGTGCCTGTGTTGTTGAATTATTGAGAGCATGGATTATTGAGGATCCGCAGTAATAGGAAGAGGGTTTTGTATAAAGCAGCCGCAAGAAGACGACAAATGTGAATAATGAATCGTGATTAAAGTCGTGTGTTAATGATTTAAGTGTTACCGTGTTTTATATGTAGAAATAAAACGCATAATGTGCGTTATGACAAAATTAGGTGGCGGCGGGAGCAATTGTCCCCTTTCACTTATTGTTACTTGTTATTACAGTAAGTGACATGGACGATATCTCCAAAAATCCTACGCCGGACCACCACTGAGTTCGTGTCCATTTCTGCTTAGACCGCATCCGCGTTTGGTATGAAGGTAACTATTTCCTGCTGTGTGTAAATAAAAGTGAAACTATATTTTAAAGCTGGAGTCTCCATTTTGTCAAGAAACATGGATACGATTCTGTAATAATATAAAGACATTTTGTATTGCAAGGTAAGATTATATTTAACAGATACATTTAATAATAAAATAAGCATGTATAACACACTTATATACAGTGGCGGCGCTGTGATTTACTGTTGCAGGTACTATGGGGAAGCTAGATTATTACCTGGTACAGGTGTGATCGGGAGCTGAGAGGGAGCAGAAACGTGGTCTGTCCCTATGACTGGTATGAAAAGCACTGCATCTCTCTCAGATATTTTCTTTGTGTTGGGATATTAATGAGTTCAGTATCCAATAATTGGTGCAAAATGTGCTACAAATAGCCATATTATGTTCGTCGTAAGCCATAAGGAGTCATTTACCGTCACACTAACAAAAGAAAATGATAAATTAAGACTTTAGAACCAGGCCTTTAGTATTGGAGTTACTGGATCGAGTTGTATGCATGTCATATATGTACACATAATATAGCAAACACAGGACTGACTGTGTTCCATGGGGTAGTGTGCATTGGGCTTGTTTTTGGGCTTGATTTCTCCATTTTACTTTGACAGTAGGTGTAAGCGCCATTTATATAGAATGGTGTATTTTCTGTTTAAGTAAATGGTTAGCATATTTTGTGTTAAACCTGTCATTATAATTTGAGTTTTATTAGCGTATCGTACAAGAAAGTGCTTCTCCGGTTAGTTTTTTGGTTTGCGACTGCCGTAAGGGATATATCAGAGGAGCAGTGTTGCCAACTTAGCGACTTTGTCGCTATATATATTTAGCGAGTTTTTAGACCCTTCTAGCGACTCGTTTTCAAAAAAGCGACTAGCGACAAATCTAGCGACTTTTTTGTTGTTATTGGTGACTTTTGGAGACTCTGACGTGAAGCACGTATCGTTCTTACTCTAACTCTTCTCACCGAATAGCAGGTGTTACCGTGGGCTCCTCTCCCGTCCCAAAGCACTCACAGGCGGCCAGTCATCGCGCAGCAGCCCCGCCCAGCTGCAGTCTGAGCAGGAGACGTTCATCACTCTGCGTTCAGACTGCGAATGAACCGCGCATGCGCGAAGCCGCTGGCTGATTCTTCCCTGGCTGTCAAAAATAAGTCCGCCAGAGTAATCAAGAAATAACTTATAAACGCAAAACACTTTATATTGAAAGATGGATTGATAATGGTTTTATTTTACTCATATAGTTCCTGAGGATTTGTTTATAGGCAACATATGTGTCCTCTTCTGAGCAAAGAAGCGACCAACAAACGCATTAGACATATACACTCACCTAAAGGATTATTAGGAACACCTGTTCAATTTCTCATT